ATATCCCCGCCCTGCCTTTCGATGAGGGCGTAACTTGATACCTATGGCAGGCAGTCGGTACTGAGAGAGTGAAGAGACGCGCCGTATTGAATGTCATTCAGAGTACGTTTGAATCGGAATATATAAATAGTATGAAGAGACTCCGGCAGAATAAACAAATGAGAATGGACCAGTACGTCTCGGTATGGTTATTTGATACTTTTATGTACTTTAGAGTTGTAATAGCGTCCCATTTGAAATGATGGATGTCCAACACACACACACAGACACTAGCGCAATTTTCTGAAACTACATATACATTCTGTGATAAAGTTTGCAACGTACGAGCGAAATTACATTTATGCGAGCGACCTGTGGCGTCATGTTTAGCTACTTGTCATACGGGTGCTTCTGTGGCAAATGTGAGAAGATGGCTAACTTACAGAACACCAACATATATGCAGTTTTTAATACAATATCTTTAAAAATATATATATTTATAAACGTGTGGTTACACACTATACAAACAATGTTTAAATTATATACACAGACATCCTATGACGGCAATAACTTTAGACGCATTTGTTGTTGAATTGGCTGACATTGACTGAAAAGACTATTTGCTCAAAAATCATAAAATACACTTACTGTTACTGGGGTGACGGTGGATCGCAAACAGTAGACGACAATCCACACTTGAGGATTAACTTTTAAGCCACAACAACAGGATTAACCCACGAGTCCACGACATAACATAAATTTACGTTTCCAAGAGATATTACCGGCTGTCGTCGTTGAAACAATGAAGGATGGTGTGTACAGATCACCGAGGGCGGGGTCTAGGCCACAACCACACTGTCAATCAACCCCCTGTCTCCCGTTCTACGTCACAAAGACCTGGATCTCAGAACAGCTCGTTCTGAGACAGTGCATATGATTTATTGAGATTGTAAAAAAAACACTGGGTGGATTTTTATCATTCTAGGGTGGTTTTGCTCACACACTGCCAACACACATTTATGTTCAAACACCATGTAAAAGTGAATTTTCCATAATAGGTGCCCTTTAAGTCTCCTTTTCTCTCAAGTCCACAAAAATGTCATTAAACCATTATCCTTCAAACATCAATATAGTGTAGGGCTGTCAAACGATTAATCGCGATTAATCGCATCCAAAATAAAAGTTTTTGTTTACATAATATATGTGGGTGCATTGTGTATAATTATTTTATATATATAAATACACACACATGCATGTATATATTTAAGAAATATTTTCATGTATATACTGTATATAGATTTATATATAATTTATATTATATATAAATATAAATATGTTATATATAAATAATATTTTTTTCTTAAATATACATGCATGTGTGTGTATTTATTAGGTCTGTCAACCGATTAATCGCGATTAATCGCATCCAAAATAAAAGTTTGTGTTTACATAATATATGTGGGTGAAATATGTATAATAAATTTTGTATATATATATAAATACACACACATGCATGTATATTTAAAAAATAAATATCCATATTTATATATATTTTTTATATATATATATATATATATATAAATATAAATCTATATAAATCTACATACAGTATATACATGAAAATATTTCTTAAATATATACAAGCATGTGTGTGCATATATATATATATATAAAATAATTATACACAGTGCACCTACATATATTATGTAAACACAAACTTTTATTTTGGATGCGATTAATCGCGATTAATCGGTTGACAGCCCTAGTATTTATATATATATATATACAGTATATATATATATATATATATACATACATATGCTCATCTATTACTGTTTTACATGTTCATGGTGAATATATAGGCTGTAATCTGTTTACACAATTTTGAAAAAAAATGGTGTGTTCTGGTGTTTTACATGCGTTCAACCAATCAGCGAACACTAACATCCTAACACTAACAGTTCCTCGAGCTAAAATCGTTCCTAGTTCCTGCGGTGCGAACACACCAAAATCCTGGAACTTCCAGCAATAGTTGTAGGAACTATGAAAAGGTTCCTCCGGTGTGAAAGAGCCTTATGTTTGTACCGTGACTAATGTGTGTGTATCCCGTCTAGGGTTGTGCCTGGACTCTGTCGGAGTTGGACACTCTGTTGCTGATCGGGACGGTCGGTCACACACTCAGTTTGGCCTCCAGCAGCTTCATCGAGGAGGAACACCAGACCTGGTACTTCCTTCTCAACACGCTGTGCCTGGCCGTCTTCCAGGACGTGTGCCGGAAGTACTTCCGGGAGCAGAGAGGAAGAGGAGAGGAATTGGACGGGAAGTTCTTCCCGGAGCCGAGAGGAAGAGGAGAGGAAGAGGACAAGGAGCGGGCGAGTTTGGGAATGAGTTCGAGATGGGAGAAGTGGCTGGCGCTCGGGACTCCGCTGATGACCCTGGCCTGCTGTCGCCTGCTGAGGGCACTCAACCACACCGGGGTGCAGTGGGCGCACCTGCCCGACTTCGGACACTGGCTCAACAGGTGAGAAGAGAAGGAGCTCACGGTTGGGTTTGGGTTGTAATGTTGACTAACTGTTCTCCTGCAACGCTTAACCACCCCACACCAACTCACTCGATCACTCACTCACTCACCCCCTCACTCACTCACTCACTGACTCACACTCACTGATTCACTCACTCATACACTGACTCGATCACTCACTGACTCACACTCACTGATTCACTCACTCACTTGATCACTCACTCACTGATTCACTCACTCACTCGATCATTCACTCACTCGATCACTCACTCACTCACCCCCTCACTCACTCACTCACTCACTCACTCGATCACTCACTGACTCACACTCACTGATTCACTCACTCACTCACTGACTCGATCACTCACTGACTCACACTCACTGATTCACTCACTCACTTGATCACTCACTCACTGATTCACTCACTCGATCATTCACTCACTCGATCACTCACTCACTGACTCACTCACTCACTCGATCATTCACTCACTCGATCACTCACTCACTCACCCCCTCACTCACTCACTCACTGACTCACTCACTCACTTGAACACTCACTGATTAATTCACTCACTTGATCACTCACTCCGTTGATCATTCACTCACTCGATCACTCACTCACTCACCCCCTCACTCACTCACTGACTCACTCACTCACTCACTCACTCACTCACTCACTGACTCACTCACTCACTCACTCACTCACTCACTGACTCGATCACTCACTGACTCACACTCACTGATTCACTCACTCACTTGATCACTCACTCACTGATTCACTCACTCACTCGATCATTCACTCACTCGATCACTCACTCACTTACCCCCTCACTCATTCACTCACTCACTGACTCACTCACTCACTTGAACACTCACTGATTCATTCACTCACTTGATCACTCACTCCATTGATCATTCACTCACTCGATCACTCACTCACTCACTCACTCACCCCCTCACTCACTCACTGACTCACTCACTCACTCACTGACTCACTCACTCACTCACTGACTCACTCACTCACTCACTGACTCGATCACTCACTGACTCACACTCACTGATTCACTCACTCACTTGATCACTCACTCACTGACTCACTTGAACACTCACTGATTAATTCACTCACTTGATCACTCACTCCGTTGATCATTCACTCACTCGATCACTCACTCACCCCCTCACTCACTCACTGACTCACTCACTCACTCACTCACTCACTGACTCACTCACTCACTGACTCACTCACTCACTCACTGACTCGATCACTCACTGACTCACACTCACTGATTCACTCACTCACTTGATCACTCACTCACTGATTCACTCACTCACTCGATCATTCACTCACTCGATCACTCACTCACTCACCCCCTCACTCATTCACTCACTCACTGATTCATTCACTCACTTCATCACTCACTCCGTTGATCATTCACTCACTCGATCACTCACTCACTCACCCCCTCACTCACTCACTGACTCACTCACTCACTCACTCACTGACTCACTCACTCACTCACTCACTGACTCACTCACTCACTCACTCACTGACTCGATCACTCACTGACTCACACTCACTGATTCACTCACTCACTTGATCACTCACTCACTGATTCACTCACTCACTCGATCATTCACTCACTCGATCACTCACTCACTGACTCACTCACTCACTCACTCACTCACTCACTCGATCATTCACTCACCCGATCACTCACTCACTCACCCCCTCACTCACTCACTCACTCACTGACTCACTCACTCACTTGAACACTCACTGATTCATTCACTCACTTGATCACTCACTCCGTTGATCATTCACTCACTCGATCACTCACTCACTCACTGACTCACTCACTCACTCACTCACTGACTCGATCACTCACTGATTCACTCACTCACTTGATCACTCACTCACTCACTCACCCCCTCACTCACTCACTGACTGACTCACTCACTCACTGACTCACTCACTCACTGACTGACTCACTCACTCACTTGAACACTCACTGATTCATTCACTCACTCGATCACTCACTGACTCACTCACCCCCTCACTCACTCACTCACTGACTCACTCACTCACTCACTGACTGACTGATTCACTCACTCACTTGATCACTCACTCACTGATTCACCCACTCACTTGATCATTCACTCACTCGATCACTCACTGAGTCACACTCGCACACACTCACTGACTCACTCACTCACTGACTCACACTTACTGACTCACTCACTCGATCACTCACTGGCTCACACTCACTGATTCACTCACTCACTTGATCACTCACTCAATCACTGACATTCACTCACATGATCACTCACTCACTAGATCACTCACTGACTCACACTCACACACACTCACTGACTCGATCACTCACTGACTCACTCACTGATTCACTCACTCACTCGATCACCCACTCACTTAATTACTCACTCACTCACTCACACACACAAACACACACACCCTAAAGGAAGTATTTATAATGAGAATAGGATAGGTCTAAGAACGGAGCCCTGTGGGACGCCACACGTGAGGGATGCAGAGTAGGACACAAAATCTAAACCAGTCCAACACAGTACGCCTAATACAAAGTCCAGTATAATGGCTCGTTTCCACTGAGTGGTACGGTACGGTACAGTTCGGTTCGGTACGCAATTATTTGCGTTTCCACTGTCAAAACTTGTGAATGGTACCAAAAAGCCGAACCGTACCGTACCACTTTTTGGGTACCCTTCCGTTGGGGTACCTAGCACAGTGAAAGGGTACTAAAAGGTGGAGCTAGACTCACTGCAGAACGGTGATTGGTGGACAGAGTATCGTCACTCGCGCGTGCTACAAGGGCATTAGAAGCATATAGGTAGAAATATAATTCTACTGTTATTGTGTCACGAAATGTAGTTTTAAGAGTTTTTCAGGCGAGAAAGTAGTTTTTTAAAGCTCAAATCTGTGGTTTATTTATAGATTTATGATAATTTGACTGAGATCCATTCTAAGCGATCACCGGACGCTCGCGCTCGTGTCCCCCGCCTGGAACAGCCTTTCCTCGGCTAGTCGTTCTGATGTTTGCCGCTGAATCGGATTTCTTTGTAGTGGTTAAACATGAGATATAGTTCGTCTTATATAAACCTAACAGGTGATCTTTGGTCTCGTGAACCTATAATTCGTTCCCTGGCCAATAGTTTTGGCAGAAGGCTACGTGAAGTTTCATATCTTTGAGCGCTGAGTATATATTTGACTGACTGAATTGTTTCCTGATGTTATATTTAAGCTTTACTGTATATCTTTTTGTACTTTTTACTTATGCTTTTATAATCGCTATTATTGATAAAACTGAAATTCAACAAAAAAGAGATAGTTTTGTCATTTTTTTATTTTACTACAAGATCATCTGTATGTTTATTGCAACATTTGTACCAATGCGATATGCAATACATTACATTACATATTGCCTGGAATATGTTTTTAATATAAATATAAATAAATATAAATATTTTTTACATTTAAACGAAAAGAGGCAGGGTTGTTTTATATTTAATTTTGTTATAAATATATAATGTTATAGGATACATGCAGAACATAATCAATAGGCTATGCGTTGCCTGAACCACATTTGTTTGCTTTAGAATGTTTAAAATGTATTAAAATGAAATCGAAAAGAAGCAGAGTGGTGTTTTATAACATATTTCGTTTTATTGTAGCCTAAAATGAACATGATAACCGGAGTCGCAGAGCCAGAGCGAGCAGAGTTTCATTAACAGAATTACTGGACTCGCGTCCTCGGGATCATTCTCCTGAGTCGGACTTTGCGTTGGCTTCTTGGAAACGCCTAATGCCAGCGCTTGTTTCTAGTGACAAACATGCAGAGAAGTAAGAACAAGATCTGCTGTCTGTCATCCATTGTTGTTTACTATGTCGCTTTCTTCGCGCGAAAATGACGTCGATCGCTTCTTTCCAGCATAGCACGCCTATCAAGTAAGGGTACTGTTGGCGGTGGAAACGCAAGCCTGATCATGGTGTACCCGACCCGACCCGTACTGTACTGTCCCGAACCGTACCGTACCCCTCAGTGGAAACAAGCCATAAGAGAGCACATCTTAAGAAGAAGTGTCCAAACAAGGTGCACTATGGTCTAGGGTTTTAAACAGTCTATCAAAGAAAACTCCATGACACTCTTATTATCAGATGGCCACATACAAAAAAACCTTCGTCAGGGAGAGCAACACAACAAACTCAACAACAGGTGCAAGCAGTTTCATTCGTTAAGACATCTGATTAGTTAACAGTTGTTATGTGATTAACATCTCTTTGCACCATTACACTAAACTAAAGGAGAAATCAAGATGCTGTGGTCTACAGTGTCAATGCAGCCGTAAGATCTCGGAGAACCTCATAGTCACCTGACCTGAGTCTGGTAGCAGGCCATTAAACACTAACAGGGCTGTTTCTGAATCGGCTGGATCTGGTGAGAAACAGCTGAGTGGGGATGATGGGAAGAGAGATGTTCTCTAACAGCCGCAAAACAATATAAGACCTTTTCTCAGATCTCAACAGAAACTGATTGAGGAGTGTTCACAACAACATTAATAACACCGAGAACAACACGAGGCTTTAGAAATAATGCTTAGACTTTTCTGTTTTGACATGTTTTGTTTATATTTGTGCAAACTCTCTTGAAAAATGTCAAAGATACCTGGAACCGATCTGATTTTCTCCCGACTGTTCATGTTCACTTTAGACCCAAACGCCTGTGTTTACGTGAGTTTTGACATGTTTTTCTCTGCAAGTATACTTGTGCGTGTTTTCCCTCTGTCCCAGTTCTCAGTTCTCTTTCGCGGTTTAATAATGCGCTTTTACTCTTATTATCCAGCACGTCTCCCAGTCCCAGTTAGTTAGCTGACATGATTTGACCGATGTGGAGCAGTGAAAACACAGTTTTCCACATTTGGACACATTTTTTTTCCCTTTTGTTTATTTGCTGTTTTATTTCTTCTGT